CATAAGTCAGAGAATACTCTAATAGGTCAGTTCCGTCTTTTCTCAGCAGCTTTGTGGTACCTAGTGCAGCTGTGGATTGAGGAAGTCAAGTCTTCTAAACTGCATTAGCATGTGCAAATCAATTCTTAAACACAAAAAACAATTATAAATAAAATTTCTTTTTAAATAATAAGACATCAAATTTCAAAATAATAGCATATTGAGATAAAATTTTTACATTTGGAAAAGTTTTCATTTTTTTATAATAATTTTGCAAAATAAAGCAATAAAATTTACTTATGTCTTGTTTTTCTACGTAGGCACAAGGACAACTTAAAAATTACAAAATACTTTATTGGAATATAATGATGTTATAAAGATTATAGAAGTTACTATCAAAGATAATTAGAAAAAAAAACACAGTAAAAGTGCCAAAGGAAAACTGAGTTAGTTCTTTTCTTTGAGGAAGATTAGCCCTGAGCTAACATCTGCCACACCTGTTTTGCTCAGGAAGATTGTCCCTGAGCTGACATCTGTACCCATCTTCTTCTATTTTATGTGTGGGACGCCTGCCACAGCATGACTTGATAAGTGGTGCTAGGTCCACGCCCCGGATCCAAGATGGCAAACCTCGGGCCGCTCAAGTGGAGGGCGTGAACTTAACCGCTAAGCCACCAGCTGGCCCCCTGAGTTAATTCTGGAACATGCACCTATTTATACTCTAAAGTCACTACCTTCAAAAATAACAGAAAACAAGAATACACAAATACACTTTCCATTATCCATTACAGCAGTGTAACCATCACAGACCATGCAGCCTCTGGGAAAGCCCTCTGGATACTTAGGATAGAAAGAAATTGCAAAAGGCAAACAATGTCTTAGTATTATGATGAACATAAATTCGGCCTTGCAAACCGTCTAAATAGTTTGAGGACCTGAAAAGGTCTTTGGATAACATTCGCAGAACCACTGGCCTAAAAATGTTCCAGATACATATTGGCACTAAATAAATATTTGTTGAATAAATGAAGAAATGAATATTCCTCTTTATAAATTATATTTATCAAAATATGTATAGTTATAAAAAAGTAGCCATTAAAGTGTTTTACAATCCTTAATTTGCAATTGTGTTTATTTAAAATTTAACAAGAGATTCTAAATATTATATATTTCTGCACCTTTTTTCTATATGAGAAATATATAATACCTTACACTTTTTTCTTTTGTGTAAAATAAAGCAGTCATAAGGATACAGATTCATTGTCTCTCCTTTCTTAAGTTTAAAGCAATGATATAAAAGTTAAATAGATGTTAACATAAGTGACATAAGTCACTCATGACATAAGTCAATGATTTAAATCCTTTAATGTCTTGCACTCTATTATTTTACAGTAATCAATAATTTATGTAACATTTGGATTTGGGAAGCATCAGCACAAATCTTATAAATGTGGTAGCATGAACTCATACAGTCACATCATTTGTTCGGTGCTTTAGTGTTGTTAACTCTTACTAAGAGGCTCCAGGTTCCGATTTTCCATCTTTCATGACAAGATGATGACATAGTATCTGTCTACATGGTCCAGCTTGACTGCCTTGACTGCAGCAAAGGGTCTATTCCAGTCATGACATTCATCAGCCAATGCCTTGTCTACCTAATTCTTTGTTCCCACAACTAGCACAGGTGCCAGACACAGTCAGCATCCACAGTGAGTATCTTTTTTAAATAACCAAATTTTTTAATTCATTAAATTGCAAAGTAGTTGTTTTTCCATAAGATGGGTTAAAACAAGGTACTCTTTTTTCCTTTCATGTATCTAACTCTTGCTATAGTGGGCTTGACCTTTAGAAGACACTTAATAAAAAGATGTCATAGATTAATTACAGGCAACATTTTCATTCACTGTATTTAAACCAAAATGTTTTATACCATTGTTACCACGGAAGAGAAAAGAACGCACATTTTTGAGAAAGGTAAAATTTTTTGTTTAATGTTTAGCAGTGGGAAAAATAAATCACTTAGTATTAGAACTGAAAATCTGTAAAGCAACAAAGACACACTTTTTACTTAATTATCTTTTGTTTATAGAAAAGAGATGACAGCTTCCAAAGTAGGAGGAAGTAATTTAGGTATTGAATTAGTTAAATTTAATATCAGAGTTCAAACAAAGGAAGTAGCATCAGCCAGATATGAAATTAGATGTCTATGATACAGGGAATCTTGGGTAATCTTTCTGAGTATCAGTAACTATCTCTCTGACCTTGGGCATGTTATTTGCCACAGATAATCTTCTGATCAATAGCATTTTGGGCAGAGAGATAAGAAATATTTGTTTTTGCTCCACACAGATAATTGGATTTCACTTAATGAGATTGCACAGCTCTTGAAATATCAGGTAAATAGGCATCAGAAAAGGATTCAACTCTGAGAGTGATGTTTTAATTGCTTATTAAATAAGGACAAAACTATTTACTGCTTCTGAAGAGTTTCCATGATACTCAAAATTGGTTTGTAATAGCTTGATTACACTCAAAAATTCCAACACAGCATGAATTTTCCAGAAAATATATAGAGAATCATGTCATATATGGCACATATAATCAAACTCCTGACTGATTGCAAAACATTTCAGATTCTAGAAATCAGCTCATCTATTTGTTAGAGTGAAATAATCAGTTGAAGTAAAATAATTGATGATTTCACATAAATATTTTCTAAAAGCTGAATATAAAGAAAGTGAAATTATAACCCTGTAGCAATTTATTCTATATTTAGAAATAAAGTACTCATGTGTAAATAACACACATAGATTTTTTAAAGTAAAAATTAAGCAATCTAGAAACAAAAGAAAGAAGAAGTGTGCAGGAGGTAGTAACAGATTTTGTTAAGAGAAGAGAATGTTGCAATCACCACTGAGAACAGCTCACACCAGCACGTCTGACTTTTAATACTTTGAGTAATATTCAACTCACATTACAAAGATATTTAATATCCAGAAATCCCTGAAGCTTATGATCTGCGTAGAATAACCCTTGAATATTTTCAACAGTACGATCTAAAAGCGGAAGGTCAAAGAACTCTCCTCATCACCCAGTGTAATCAGCAGTCTTTATTAACATGAACAATAGTTACTTTCCTTTGCTCAGAATATTCTTCCAAGTCCAAAAATTGTATGGAATTCTGTCTGATTCCCTTTTCTTTTTCATATTCAATGAAAATGTGGGGCAATTTTTACTTAATATATGACATTGCAAAACCATACCTATCTGAACAATGAGTACAATTTACACTTGAATTGGCATTTTACACACACACACAATACAATAAAACATAACTGCAAAAATATATCCAAAATCTATAGAGATTATTTCCTATTATAAGAGATGATTACTAATGTGTGGAAAAAATGATCGCTATTATTTACAATTAGCTAACAAAAATTGCAAGGAAAATACTGTCAAATTTGCTCCACATCCTAGTCAATACTTAGAATTGCTGATTCTTTTTGAGGAAGACCAGCCCTGAGTTAACATCTGCCGCCAATCCTCTTCTTTTTGCTGAGGAAGGCTGGTCCTGAGCTAACATCTCTGCCCATTTTCCTCCACTTTATACGTGGGACGCCTACCACAGCACGGCATGCCAAGCGGTGCCATGTCCGCACCCGGGATCCGAACCAGCGAACCCCAGGCTGCCAAAGCAGAATGGGCGCACTTAACCGCTGCGCCACCGGGCCAGCCCTGAGTCATTTTAATTTTAGTTAATGTACCATTTACTTAGTTACTTTGTCTCAGTTATGTATTTTTCTACCATCTTACATGTTTACATTGCCCTTAAAAAAGTCAAAGACAAGTACTGTATGAATCATTTATATGTGGAATCTAAAAAAGTCAAACCTGTGCTTAAACAGAGAGTAAAATGGTGAATACCAGAGGCTTGGGGTTTGGGGATAAGATCGATGGTATTTCAGGATACAAACTTGAAACAAGTAGTAAATACACCATAGGGATCTAATGCACATTGTAATGATTATGAACAATGATATTGTATGATAATTATATGTTGTAATATGATAAATATTGCTACAACAGCAATCAGATTACGATACATGAATGTATCAAAGTACCAGGCTTTACACCACAGTGTTACATGTCAAATTTACCCAATAAAAAAATGCCGTAACAACACAACACATGATAACATAATGCTGGCTTTGCATCAAACGCTGCTCTAGACAGTTTCTATGCTTTAGCTCACTCAAACTCATAGCAAACTCTTTAGGAGATTGTTTTTTCCCATTTTATTAATGAAGATCCTGAGCCACAGAGAAGTTAAGAAACTTAGTGAAAATTATCTGGCTAGTAAGTGGCATGCCTGAGCTTTGAACCCAGATGGCTTGGCTCCAAAATTTATCATTTCCCCACTACACTATAATAATTATTCTGCCTATGGTCACATGGAAACAGGCAATATAAAGCCTGTTCTGATCAGAAACTATAATGAAAGCATTACCAACACTACAGGTAATCAGTGATATATCCTCATTCGTTACTTTGTATTATTACAAGTAGACTGTATTTTCATATCATGCATCAGAATTTGATTTATTCTTTTATTTAATCCCATTCAATTTAAGCACAGCACTTGTCACACAGTTGACACTCAATCAACAACATTTGTTGAATGGATTGCCCCAAATGTTTGTGTGCATTGTGGAGGCCATATGAGTACTGGTGGTTCTGAGCACAGAGCTAAGATCCTGGGTACCTGGGCTTCATTCCAACTCTATCCGTTACTAGCTGTGTGAACTTGGGCAAGTTACTCATCCTTTTGATGCCTCAAATTATAATCTCTATAATGAGGACAAAAGTACTACCTGCTTTAGTTAGACAATTGCAGGAAGTATTAAATAATAAATGCCTATGAAATATTGATTTCAATGATTAGCAGAGAGAGAGACAGGAGAGAGAATTGGAGCAAAAATAAGAGGAAAAATGTGCCATAGAACATAAACCTTAGAAACTCATGTGCAACCATTTTGTTTTACTTATTTTTGGTTTTTGCGATTCCAGTTTCTGCTAGAGAGTTTCTCAGAGACGTTCAGTTCATCTTAACACGGCGTTGGCATTGTCCCCCTGGGTCTCGAGTTCTCTTGTGCACTTGTTTTCGTTCTTTACCTGTGTCTACTAATGCTGCTCTTCATCAAACTGGCAAACAGCTTGTGAGCTACAGACAGAAAAAAAGGGGAAGGAAATGATGCTAGTTTGTAAGATCATTTCCTAGAAATTATGAATAAACTTTGTTGAAGAAGAAGAAGATTAGCCCTGAGCTAACATCCACCATCAGCCCTCCTCTTTATGCTGAGGAAGACTGGCCATGAGCTAACATCTATGCCCATCTTCCACTATTTTATATGTGGCATGCCTGCCACAGCATGGCTTGACAAGCAGTGTGTAGATACACGCTGGGGATCCAAACTGGTGAACTCACAGCCAACAACTAGACTAAACAACTACAACAACAACTAAACTGCTACACCACCGGGCCGGTCCCAAAAATAAACGTTTTAAGCAGTCAGATAATCCTGTTTACCAACTCTCTAGAAAACTGTCTTAAACTAAGTGATAATTCTAGGCCCCAGTATTCAGTATGGAAAGTAAAAGAGGATCTGATTTTATATAATTATTGAAAATGTTTTATTCTCACTGTAGTATCCAAACCTGTGTATTATGTATTTTCTATGGTGGGTTCCCCCATGGCAAAAACACTAATTATTTTAAAGTATTTCACTATAGATTTCTATGTTTAATGTATTTTAAAATAATATATCTTTAGGGCAGAAAGGTCACAGGTCTATAGACATGTTGAACTGGCAGTTTAATACCTACAGCGTTGTCCTAATGTGGAAATGTGACAGTTTTTTCTGTTTAAAAACAAGGCCTTAGAGAAACTATTTAAATCAAGCTGAAGTGTAGATTTAGAATAGAACAGAAAAATCTATATTCCTCAAATATAGATAATCTATACTTTTTCATAAATCTTAATTTCTAAGACATTTATATTTTAGACAACTAAGCAAATTGATAAGCTATCCAACGGCAATTAATGTTTGAAATACTAAATTTGAAACACAAACAAAAAACTATAACAAGAAACAAAGAAAACAAAAACCATTCCAGCCATTGCTTGCATTTTAACAACAATAAAAGCAAAAGAAAACAAATGATAACAAGTAAAAACTAGATATATTTATCTGTATAAAGTATGCATCCCACATGTGCTAAAAGAGTAATAATACGTCCATTATTTCTGGAAGCAGACTACAGTTATATCTTCAGAATGAGAAAACATAAAATAACCCAACAGGCTATGACAGCATAATTATTGAGATTGTCGACCTCTTGGCTCTAAAATATAGCTTAGAAGTGGCAGATACCAACTCTTAGTTCTGGCCATCCTACAAGGCCAATGTTTTCACCTGTTTAATTTATCATGAAAAAGGATAATATGCTAACTAGTACTTCAAGGTTAGATAATGTCATTTACTTTAAAAATTTTAAATAAATATTACACCTACTATTTTCTCTTGGAAAAGTATTGAATATATTTAAACAGAAAACCAAACAAACATCTGGGACCAAAGGAAATCCCAGAAAATATATACATTATGTGTAGTAACAAGAGTGAGACCAGGGGACATCAGAATATCCTAAATTTCTTATCCTAATAGGAGGAAAATACTGACATCCTATTTCGTTGCTGTTGTTGTTAAGGTAAAATCATATTAAAAAGAAAAATAGATGGAATATAACTCCCTACTCCTTCAGAGTGGGCTACACAAGGGGACTTCCTTCGAAGAGTACTGTGTGGAAAGAGGTAGAAAAGTGTGACTTTGCAGTGGACAAATCTGACAGGAGATCACGGTCAATATCAACAGCGATAAGTCAGATTGATGGCATCCACCCTGTATACTAACTGATGAGGAAATGGCACTTTACCTCTGCATCTTCCTCCCCAAAACTCATAACCCTATGCTAATAACAAAAAAATCATCAGACAAATCTCAGCGGAAGGACCTTCTCGAAAACGTCTGACAAGCATTCCTCAAGACCGTCAACTTCACCAGATACAGAGAAAGTCTGAGACACTGTCACAGTGAAGAGGAGCCTAAGGGGACTAAATGTAATGTGCTACCCTGGGTGGAATTCTGGGACAGAAAAAAGTAAATTAGGTAAAAATTAAGAGAGCTGAATAATATGCAAATGTTACACAATAATAATGTATTAATATTAGTTCATGAATGTACTACGCTCGTGTAAGATAGCAATATCAGGGGAAACTGCATGTGGCATTTATGGAAGAACTGTACTGTTTTAATAAATTTTCTGTAATAGAAAACTATTCTAAAAGCAAAAGCTTATTAAAAGCAAAAAAGACAGGCTGACCTGGTGGTGTAGCGGCTAAGTTTGCACGCTCCACTTTGGTGGCCTGGGGTTCGCCAGTTTGGATCCCAGGTGCAGATCTATGCACCACTTATCAAGCCATGCTGTGGCAGGCGTCCCACATATAAAATAGAGGAAGATGGGCACAGATGTTAGCTGAGGGCCAATCTTCCTCAGCAAAAAAAGGAGGATTGGTGGCAGATATTAGCTAAGGGCTAATCTTCCTCAAAAAAAAAAAGTAAAAAAGAAAAGGAAATATTAAAAAAAGTAGTTGAGATTAAAATACAAAGTATTTTGTTCTAAAAATTTTAATAATCTAACAGACATGAAAAAATTGCGTATTCCAATTAAAAGACAAATATTGTCAAATTTGCTTAAAATAATCCAGTAATATTCTGTTTTAAGATGTACACATAAAACAAAACTAAGAAGTCTAAAAAGTAAAAGAATAGAAAAAAATCTGTATCTTACCAATGCTTAGCAAAAGAAAGCTCGTATGGCTAAATTAATAGCAGATAAATGGATTTTATTACAGTAAATATCTTTATGAATAAACAGAATCATTAAAAAGTGATAGATTTATTTTACCAAAAAGAATTAGTAATTGTGAACATGTTGCATCAAGAGTATGTGGAGAAAAATTGAGTGGCCTACTGTGAGAAAAATGGCAAATCACTAGCAGTTTGATATTTAAACACAGATCTTTCAAACATCAAGAACATTATCAGACAAAAATGCAACAAAAGTACACAAGATTTGAATACCAAAAATGATTAAAAAGTTTAACCTAATGAATGGACATATAAAACATTCTGTGTGTATCTAACACTTGGAGAATATCAATTCTTTTCAATCAAAAATGAAATATTACAGTGGTAACCATTTTGCTATATATATGTGTACAACACGTTGTATAGCTCAACCTTTAAAAATGAGCTTAAAAATGGAAGATTTACAAAAACTGTCCCATCATGGCTATAAAGCAGATCAGTCCAAATTTTATGGAACAGATCTCATAAAGAGGATACAGAGTTAGAAGTTATGAAGAAATGAAACATTTAAATTTAAAGAAGAGAATTTTAAAGATTAAATACCGTAAGAGCATACTGAGATAGAAGTTAATAAAATTATAAATATAAAACATATTCATATTATAAATTTAAAAATACATTTCTAAATAATATATTGGCCAAAGAAAAATTACAGAGGGGGTTTTTAAATACTTAGTGTGGAATGACATTCTAAAAAGACCAATGGAAACGATGTAGGCAGCCTGATACAGTAAAGGTACTTCGATGCTGCCCATAAAGCTTTACACCAACATACTCACACCGGAAAATATGAAAGGTTAAAAATGAATTATTGAGCGTTAGAGAAAGAGGAACAGCAAACGAAGGGAGAAACAAGGCTACAATAAACCTAAGGTTCAAATCAATGAAACAGAAAACAGCGTTAGGAGCTAGCGTTTCAAGCAACGATAGAGTCTAACAATAAAGGCCCTTCTGGATTAATCCTCTTTGGAAAACAGGTATAAAATCTAGACATAATACCAAAAAAGGAAGCAGATGAATGCACTGGAGGGCCAGCAGAAGCAGGGAGACTCATGGAGAATGTGTGCCCAGAGGAGAAAATAACTAGTTCTCCTTTTGTATTTTTGTTTTTATTTTCTTTGCAACTTTCAGCCTAGGGCCACATGCAGTTGGCGGGCACATGCAAGATGGCGGCAGCAGCAACAGTGGAAAAACCACAGCCTTTCTGGCTTGGGGAAACTAGAAATGCCTAAATATTCCTATAATTTACTAAAAAAGAAACAGAAAAATACATACAAAGAACTAAAAATATTTCCAGAAAGAAAGTACTACTAACTTCAAACAACAAATTATCTCGATCTTATTAAACTGTTCTAGACAATAGAAAAAATAGTCTACTTTCTAGTACATTCTATCACGTCAGCATAGGTTTGATAAGGGCAATACAATGGAAAAGCTTTATAAGTCCACTTCATTTACTAGCAAACATTTAAAAATCCTAAACAAAATATTGGCAACTACAATGCAACTTAAGGAAAGATAAGATAAATTAGACTATCTACTTAGAATACAATAGAAGAAAACACCTAATGCCTATTTATGACAAGAAAATGTTACAATGCAAAATTAATTTGAGACTTTCAATAGATGCAGAGAAAATTTATAGAACTCATGAATTTATGATGAAAATTAAGTAAATTTGGAATAAAAGATCGCTATTTTATCTTGGCAAATTATACCTATTAAAAAACACTGTCCACACCATCCTAGCTGTGAAAAAAGCACTTCTTAAAATTGGAAACAAGGCAGGGATACTTCTGTAAGCATTTACAACTGTTGGAGACAGCCTAATAAGACAAGAATAAGGAATTAAAGGATTTCTAGTTGGAATGCAGAAAATGAAAACCTGCAATATTAATCTACAAACATCAATTACGTTTTAATAAAACAACAAAGCATTAGAAAACGTAATTAAGAAGAAAATACAATTGGCAATAGCATAAAAAGGCAAATACCTAGGAATAAATCTTACAAAACATATGCAATTCTTGTATTTGGAAAATTTTAAAGCTTGATTGTGAGATATTAAAAAAAGACCAAATATGAATGTCCAGTGTTACAGAGATGATGGAATTCACTTTGAGGCCACGTTGCAAGGATAGAAAGTAAATTTTGGAGGCCTAAAACCAAAAACTTTCTTAATTTTTCTAAGTTTTCATATCTTTTTTTGTTTGGCATGACTAAAATCTGCCTT